TGCCTTGGCTTCCGGGGTAAGATGTTCACACACGAAGACAGGCATTTTTTCACCTGCTATTCCCAAATGTGAAGAGTTCAGTTTATCAGACGGATGGGTTTTATTGTAATTTATTACATTAGCAAAGAATTTATCTCTCAATAGGGGTGTTGCAAACTTCGCCAAAACAGTTCGTGGACGATTGTTCTCCATATTCCACTTCGCAATCCGGGTGCATTTAACTATATGGCCATCTTCTACATAGCTACCTATAGTTTTTCCTATTTGTTGTTAACTAAGTTTTCACCACGGTTTTCTGGTATGCAGTGAAATTCTAAATTATTTACTCTTGTTTCTTTTTCCATAATAGTCAATCTGGAATTTATTTTTATTTGATTTTCGCGAAGCTTAGTATTTTCATTTTCCGGGACGGGACGATATTTCCTGCATAGCCTCTTCTAATTTTTTTTGTTGCTTATCGTACATAGATTGTAATATATCCATTTTATTTTTAACTTCCTGTGTACCACTTACTTCCAGCCTAATAGCTTTGAGGTCTGGGCTCACTGAATTTTCTAATATATTACTTATTTCGTCTCGTATCAAGGATATTATGGTATGATTTACAGGTGTCTGCGTTTGTGTAGGAGAAGAATATATTTCATCATTTTTTGTAATTGGAGAGGCCATAAGGCCTTCAGTTTGGTTACGGCTCTGGCAAAATGAGCATTTAAATGACTTCACACTTAGGGATGTCTTCTTAAATGACGTACTGGTAAAACCAACACATTGGGTGCGTTTGGCAGAAAAAAGCGCTAGCAAGCGCTTACAAGCGCTAAAATAGTTTTCGGCCAGGACACGATTGCTACTTCAGCAGCGCTGACACAATCCGCCATTTTGCTTATTTAATTTGTTTATTTTGAAGTAGAGTTTAAAGTTGTTTTGTGTAAAATTAGTTTTAAGTAGTATAATGACATGAATAGATATATACATGTTATTAAAAATTCATGATTGGTAAGTTTTTAATATGAATACTTTACAAACATATATTTAAATTAGGTTAGGTTCTCCGGTTAAAACTAACATCGTGTCCTGGAGGAAAATAGCTACTTACGATTTGACAGCGCTTACCGCTTACGATCGCCATTTTGCTTACAAGCGCTTGCTAGCGCTTTTTTCTGTCAAACGCACCCATTGATAGTGAAACACGGCCGGACAGGCTGTGCATTTAATGAAGTAGGGTTGTATTACATGAATTGCAAGACATGTTACTTGTAAATAAAAGTATTAACTATATAACTTTCAATGTTGAAGATTAATCGGATATAATTTGTTAAATTTGTATTCAATATAAATTTAATAGTGGGTATCTTCGCTTACTTCTCTGCCCATCCAACGCACTTTGCAATATACAGCTGCTGTGGTCGCGCAAAAAAGGTCTTAAGCGCCGTGCATGTGAAGGCGCTTACGCGTTCATGTCAACACAGCGAAACAACACTTATCAAATTCTTGGAGAAAAAATTTTCGCACATCTATAATTGTTCTGATTTATAATTTCACTATTTTATTGTACTAAATAGTCAAAATCCATGGCTTAACTTAAAACACATTCCCACAGCTAATCTAACTCTTATTTTTCACCATCTTTTTTTTTAAATTTAGACGGAGCTAACAGCGCATGCGTTACGTTGCGAACGACGATTCTGTATAATGTCTGAAAAAAAAGGAAAAAAAAACATTTCGAAGACATGTGAAGTTCGCCAATACGCATTGGGGCAGCGCGACGGACAATTCCTTGCCCTAAAACCCTCTCAGAAATAAGCGGGAGTCCTGTGCCCAGGAGTGGGACGTATAATAGGCTGTAACTTTTGTAGTTTATATTCTAATATTAAATAAATCATTTAAAGTATTTTATATTACATTTCATTTCATTTGAAGGTTTCACTTCTGTCGCGTGTGAGCTGTACGCATGTTTTTTTTTCGCCTGTGCCTCAAATCTGCATAACGCTGTCCGCCATTATTAAGACTGTCGTGACATCAATGATCCAGCATAATGGTATTAAAATATACTGGTATATATACAATATAGTGTCCTGTGACATTGATTAAGAGAACTAGTTAATGTGCTGTGTTATTTAGGTATCATGGAAGATGAATTCGTAAAAGCAGAAAGTACTAATATACCAAGGATAAATAAATTGATGGTGGCAAATATTTTTGCATGCAATCCCAATTTTTGTTACGCTGAGTTGAGGAATGTTAAAACATCAATGTAAGCACCTATTACCAACCTTTGTCGTCAATTGTCCGCTGGGTAAGTTTTTCGTAAAAATCTTTCATATACTTGACAATGTGACGCTAAATAAAATACAATTCAGACTAAACTGTATGCTCTGTGATCTTTGCCTATATATAATTAGCGAATCGTACAACAAAAAAAGTAGTTTTACCGTAGACAGAGAGTTATACGTGCGTAGACAGAGAATGCTATTCTACGTATACGTGTCCCTCTTTGGTGGTCTCTTAGCTCTATGATTTAGTGATGAGCTGATATTTATTATCTATGGGGGATCGTACCTAAGGGCGTCAATGCACTACACGGTAATTTTACTGTCCGGAATGCCTAGCCTGCTACATATTTATTTATCTAAGGGAATGCACCCTATGTTAATTTTACTGTCCAGAATGCCTAAGCTGCTACATATTTGTTTATCTATGGGAATGCCACGCTGACTGTGAGGAAACTCAAATAGAATTTTAAAATTAGACCCATACTAGAATTATTTTCTCATGCAGTTTGGGTCATAAATCAGACACGTATTTCGCTCTCTCTCCCATTGACGGGCCTTAGGGCCGAGCATAGTGATGCTCATTATTTTTGCCGATAAGCGTTGTCGATATTGTATGTAGCTTTGTCATTATGCGGGTTAGTGATAGTGATTAACACTTTATAACTTATCGGAATCTATTTTCATTTCAGTGAAAAATGTTAAAACATTGTTGATAACAACACGCGCTTGTGCTGGTATATTGGTGCCAACAGGCAAAATATTATTTTGAATAAATTCTGCCGTTTTGGTACAAAAAGGAGTAGCCATTGTGTCATTAAAAAAATTCAGAAAGCGAATGTGCAAGAACAAATTTCTCTTCGATATATGCACTAAATTATTATTGCACTAATTTGCAGATAGTAAATGACTCATAACATAACAATGTCGCACCATCTTTGTAAACCGCACCGCCTCCTTGTACCTGCCTTCGATGATTCATTTGTTGTTATCGATAAAAGGCTTAGGCCGAGCTATGATTTATGACCCCAACTGCACGTACAAAATAATTTTACTATACATATAGTCAGATTTGGAATTGGATTCCGATGAAAGTGATAAAGAAAATTAGACTATTGATAGGATAAGTTAATTTACTTTCATAACTATTATTTTTGTAAACATATTTTGATTTATTTTCTAACTTGCAAAACAACATGAGACTTACATTTGCAGAGGTTAGGGTGGGTTGAAGTGGAATGAGACGAAGACTTCTTACTTACTACTGTGACAATGTGTGTACACAGTAATACTAGACTACCTAACTTAACTATTACTGGGCAATCCCAACGATAAAGCCTTGGTTTTTGTACTATGTTGAATATTCTTAACTCACGTAAGTTAATTAAGTTACATCTTTTATTTGCTTAGCAAGCGACATGCAAGGTCCCGGTATTATAAATGTTGTTAAAGATATACATACAAACAATATTCTATTTACGACGTATATTTCTCCATTCGATTTTCAATCCAGTGTGTGCAGGTGGTCTCCCAACCTTCATGTACGGTTTTCGACCTAAATCAAACTTAAATAGTCAAACTTGAAAGAATTAAAAGACTACACCAAAAAACTAAATAGGGATAATAGTAAATAAGTGAAATAAAATAATGATGAAAACTATTCTGATCTTTGTATTTTCTCGTGTTGAATAGAATACAATCAATTTTACTCAATATAGATTGAAAGAATACTTATTGAAAGTTATTGAAGTTTTACTTCTGGTTCGGAAATAAATCCTCTGTTATGAGAATAAGATCCAGCAAGGAACCCAGCGACTTATTTTTAAACATTAATTTACAATATAATATTTTATACAAAAAAATGTACATGGTCTAGATCACCTTATTTTTTTTAAATACTGGTAATTCTATTAATTAACGTTACTAATATTACTTTTAACCACTCCGGTAAACTTAAAATGCTTGTTTTAGGAGTTGTTCACGACAGTAGTGGAATGGCAGATTCGTACCTTTGACCTTTTGAGATCTTGTTCCGCACCCTGCCATTACGCTGTTGTCGCTTATTCTTATAAATTTTAAACTTTTTGATAAACTACATATTTTCTGGGTTTTTGTTTAAAAGCGAAGAAGAATTATACAGTGCTTTATAAAGGAGAATTACTGATTCTTTGGAGTCGAGTTACTTAATATAACTAGTTTGATTGGATTTTATTAGTTTAGACATTAAGCATCATCACAAATCAGATAAGATTGCAAAACACGGGTGTGAGGATTTTTTATGCAATAAATTGAAAGACTTACAAAATTGGTCTTAAATGTGAAAATAAAATACATGGACGGTAAAATTACGGATACTACACAGATCGGAGCGTAAATATAAAAATTACAGACGGTTATTTTACCGCTTCGTACATAGGCAACCTAAAGTGACACAATGATTGACCATAGATATTCAGCAATAAGTATAAATACTATACATATACGCACTTCGTACTACTGTACGTTAAACATCGATAGTTTGGTAATCCGATAGTATCGATAGTTTAACTAAAAACTATCGATAGTATCGATAGTCTATCGATAGTTTAAAAACTTGTAGGATTAGCGTAACATCAATAAAATAACAAATGTTATACGAAACGTAGAATTTTATTTTGATATATATATATATATATATTCGAAATAACAATCAAACAATCAAAAATCAGTATTCATCATTATTATAGTTAGAAATCAATCATTAAAATAACAGCTATTTTGTTTTATAAACAACAATTCATTTAATCTTTTTTCTTTTAACCTATTTCTGCGTTCGGTTAAAATTTGTCCGGCCTTCGAAAATATTCGTTCTGAAGGCACAGAAGATGCTGGAATACAGAGATAGAGCATCGCTAATTCCTTCAATTTATTGTTGGTGTATTTCCAGTATGTTATAGGACACTCTTTTCTGTCAATTACTGGCTTCTCGAGATATTGCCTGACATCTACCAATGAGTTACTCAACGGGGTCGATACGTCCGGAACGTCTAGAAATCCCAACAGGTCATTAGATGTTCCTGAAGACGTGGATGGTGTTGGTTGCGTTTCTTCTACAGCCAAGCGTTCTTTAGTTAAATGGCTAGCATAGGCCTTTTCCAGCCACTGACCAGCTCGCTTCTCGTCGTCACTTGTTTTGAACCCCTTCTTCTTAAATCTGGGGTCCAATATTGTAGCAAGTACAACAGGTGTCCTGCTTTCATAGGGACTTAGTCTTTTGTCAACTGATCCCTTCATGCAGAGTAATATTTTGTTTCCGCTTTCAGTAACAATTTGAGATTCAACTTCTACTAATTTCGTTTTTATTCCACGAATCAATGGTATTATCAGTGACAATGTTATATAGCTTTCTCCGGAAATTTTTGTTGTAGCTAGAAAGGTTCCAGAATTTGAATTGTTTCTTGAATAATTAGGTATTCGTCAGCATTGACTCCTGGTGGAGCCCGATTACATTCATTAAGTGCGAGAGTTAATTCTGTCTTCATTGTAACAATTCTTTGCAGCATGTGGTATGCACTGTTCCAGCGGGTGGGTACTTCCTGGATCACTTTCAGTTCTGGTTTATTTAATTCACGTTGAATAGCCCGTAATTTATCGCTAGCTAGAGTACTCATCTTGAAAAAAGTCACAATCGATTTACATTTTTTCAGAATCTGGTCTAAGCAGGTCACAGCAAACGAATCACTTACCGTCAGGTTTAGTGTGTGCGCAAAGCAGGGTATATGTCGTATATGCAGTTTGGCTGCGGCGTTAATCATTGTTTGAGCGTTATCAGTCGTTATTGCTTCACATTTTGACCTGATATCCCATTTTGAGAGAGTAGCATCCAATATCTGAAAACAATAATAATATTGTTTATGTCTGATTATAAAGAAACACTGAATTGGTAGGTATCAAGGCAATAAAATTTAAAAATACTTACACTGGCTATATTTTCTGCGTTATGACTTCCTTCCATCTTCACAACTTCCAATAATGGTGCAATTAATTTTTCGTTGGACAGAAACAGTGGATGACCACATCCATACCTCATTATGTTTTCTCTTCATATGATCGATCAAGTTCGTAGTATTTCCACTTAGTTTAAACTCTCTTTTACACAAAGAACACTTGGCAAACTTTTCATTAGTCTTTTTGAAGTAATCCCACGCACGTGACTTACTACTCATGTTTTATTGTTTAATTCTAAATTGTTTGTTACTCCACTCAACTTCAAACATCCACAATAAAAAACTGACTGACTGACTTTTGTCTTGTAAATGAATGATATACGCACGGTAATTCCCCAACCATAGAGAAGAATCTCAATGTCTACGCCTTTGAATGTATGATATACGCACGGTAATTCCCCTACCATAGAGAACAATCTCAATGTCTATACCTTTGTCACTATAGCCGGGGAATAACTTACATACATGCATACCTCGACTCTAGGGATGTAAAAGTAGTACCCGAGTAAACAATCGATCGATAGTTTTAAAAACTATCGATAGTATCGATAGCCATTTACTATCGATACCATCGATAGTCTATCGATGTTTAACGTACACTACTTCGTACTATTTACTTGTACTTGTACTAGAGCTAGTTATCGTGACGTGACGTTATATTTTACGTAAATACTTATCTTGTGCTTCTACTCCATTTCAATTTCACTTGAATTTGTAATAATTGCATCAGTTTGCTATTGGAATAAGTGTTTGCATTTCTCACACTAAGTTTCCATAATATTTTCATAAATATATCCCGAAATTGTTATTGCGCGGCGTTAAAAGATTAATTAAATAATGACTCCGAATATTCAAACATTTATAAATAGTTTTCAAAATCGGCTGTGAGTATACTTTAAATTATTTGTTTTATATTTTAACAAAGCATAAAACATTAAGCACATAGGATATTATGCAATTATTTGTACTTTTGGTGAACTTTGAACAATGCTTGTCACAGATTTTTCTACGCTATTCTCGAAGGACTTGTTTTGTTTGTTCATGACTTGTAATGTCAGTTATAATAAGTAGTTTTGTTTTCAAATTCTGAAAATTGACAAATTCTGTGCTGCACCATATCTATATGTTGTATAATAAATTGTGATATGCATACGCTATTATAACGGATTCGTAATAATAATTCATAAGAATGACTAATGATACTATGTCCTAGTACCTAATTTCTTACCACTGCAACATTTCCAGAAATTGGATTTACAATCATTTTTTTCACATATTTTTATTATCGCAGCTTTGCAGGTCTAATAAGACCAGTATCGGGTTTTCTTTAGTAATCTGCTGCATGAATATATGGTCGCCGAGTGGGTGGGGGAGGGGGGGGAGGGGGAGGAACCTCCCCCTGAAAGGAAAAAGTGCCGGAAACCCCCCCCTTTTTTTTTATGAATTTTTAAAGTTTTGTTACATTTAAGGAAAATTCGCTTTCGTTTAATAAAAAAAGGGCGTCCGGCGACGAAAAACTCACATTCGGGTCCCGGTGGGAATGTGGCAGTATTTAGGGTGGGAAAAACGGTGGGAATTAACACTATTTTGACTCTGCTTCTGCTCCAGCGCTGCGGGAAGTGCAGCCCTTTCGCCCTTGCGTAACTAAGCACAGGCACCTAGCTCACCTGCGCAGCTTCGGCTGTTTGGTCGCCTTCGGCGACCAGCCTCAGCCGCTACGGCTCGTACGCTGCCTGCGCTTAGTTACAGCGGGCGAGGGCTGCATTCCCTACGCGCTTCCGGATTTTCATATACACTCTAGGGGTAAGAGCGGAAAGACCACGTGGAAGTTGGGGTTGACAGATTCGGTTTTGTGATATATACCTTCTGGTACTAGGGTTTGATCAAAAGAAATGAGCAAATATAATATTATAAAAACATTTATTTATATACATGGTTAATTACTTTAATTAGTTCCATAAAAGGATCCTTTTTTTTTCTTTGCACTGACCTTCTCCACAAATATTCTATAATAATGTCTGAAAAGTTTTCCGGGTGGTTATAATTGTATTTACTGAAAAATCTTTTAACCACCCGCCATTGCGATTCGATTCTTTGAGTATGAGTGCCATCAGGGGCAACAAATGGGTTCTCAGGATCTGAATGGTTCACCTTCTTGTGAATGTACCCATGTTGCCCCAAACAATCATAAGCCCCTCCAGAAGTCGGTATGGATTGTGGTGCCCTCAACCACATGTTTTTTAATTAGGGGCACTAGTATGTCCGCTGACCTGATGTTTTCAGGGCACACCTCTAGTCGTAAATCCTCACTTCCATCCTCAATGAGACCGAGGATCCAGTGGCCCTCAATCTGCCTTCCTAAAATAAACAATAAACAATTTAGAGTTAGTAAATATTCAAGATATTTATTTATTTATTTACTCTATATTGTACAGTGTACACCAAAACCCAATAGTACAAAATTACAAAAAAAAAAAAACAAATACAAAAGTACAAAATTTTATAGCAGAATATGTACAACAGGCTGTCTTATCACTCTGAAACTGATTTCTTCCAGATATTTTGGCTTTAAAAAGGTATTCAAATATATTTAATAAAAGGTATTAAAAGATAATTTGGGTTCAAAAGTAAACTTTAAAATAAATAATGTGTAATAATTTAAGACTAACATAGGTTAAGCTAATTTACTAACATATTATGGACTATATGTAGGTCTGAAATAAATTTAATTATCATTATATTATTATTATAAATATATTGTTTCAGTCTGTAATATAAGAAAATCAAATTACCTTTATTATATTTCCGTTTTCCAAATTTTGACTCGTCTATTTGGACTACTTTTCCTGGGCCACCAATCTTGCCGATGGCCTCTTGTTGCTCTATTTGGTAAATGACGACTGTCTCCCGGCAGTAATTGTACCAATCGCAGACAGTCGCCATAGATAAGCAGCCTCCCTCTATTTCTTTTTCTGGGTCTTCGTGGATTGCATCTTCATAGCTCCAGCGATGCGCATAACAATACATCAGATAGAATACCCGTGGCAATGACATTTTAATATTTTCAAACCAGGTGCCTTTGCCACGAGCTACCCTGGATCGGGCTCTGCAATTTCCTTTATTGCAAACAAAGGAGCCCACATTTTTATTTTGCCCATATACCACTTTCATTGGCACTCTATGGGTGCGGCACTCCTTAGTGGCAGGGATTAAGCCATTTTCGATGGCAAACTCCACACACTGTACTCTGGTACCGAGTTCTCGCACGATTCGGGGTAAATTAAAAAATTTAGCTCCTTCTTCCACATATAAACGCCTGCGCACAAAATCACCATAAAGCTCCGCGAAGGGTACTACATCCGTTGCGGCGGCGTCGCTTGCGTTCGACGGCCCGGCCGAACTAGTTGACGGCGTAGAGTCGTCGGCCATCTTGGGTCTCTCAGGTAGACAGACAGGTAGGCAAAGTCCAAGAAAACGTGCAGGGGTCTTCGTAGGGCAAATCGGTGGTCCGGTATTCGAGCACGGGTCTTCGTCAAGGCAAATCATAGGTCCAAGAAACAAGCAGAGGTCGAAAATAGAGCAGGCGGTAAACGGAGGTCCGATAATCGAGCAAGGGTCAAGAATTAGGAGCAAAAAATGAGCGCAAAACATTCAAAGTCCGAAGGCGAAAGTGGAATGGATGGTGACTAAAAAACAATACGTGGTTTAACATCGTATGTTAGAGTAGGATAGCACTATAAATAGATCAATAGATCATACAAACTATACTATTGTTATCTCCTTCTAATAATTATATCCTTGTTGCTTATTTTTTTTTAAAACAGAGTACAGACCATGCTCTATTGCTATCTCTTTGTAATAAATATATTCTTAATTCGTATTTGTATCATTTTTAAATGGATATAACCTCAAAACTATAATTGTCGATATCTCGAAAACTAAAGATTTCCGGCATAAAAAAACAGCTAGATGATAATTAATAGTGTCATTGCCTGTCAACTAAAGCTAAAATGATCAAATAATTATGTTGTTATTTCGTTTCGTATCATTTTTAAATGGACATAACCTCAAAACTAAAATTATCGATATCTCGAAAACTAAGGATTTCCGGCATAAAAAGCAGCTAGATGGTAATCAATAGCATCATTACCTATCAACTAAAGCTAAAATGATCACTTAAATCGTGCAGCAGATTACTAAAGCCGACCCCCAGTATCACTGTAACTTCTAACATTTATATTGAAAAATGTATGTTAATATTGATTGTATAAAACTGACAGTTGATTTGAAGGTTCAGACTTCTAGGAGGGGTAGATGATTTTTATGTGGTAGAGCTATGCTGCAGATTTATTATGGTTGTAGTAACTCGACCAGAGAAAGGGCCACACTTATAGAATACCAGTGTAAAATGACAGCTAAATGCTGCTGTGTTTTGAATGGTGAGTGTAAAGAACCGGATACCCTTTTTACTGGAAACAAGGTATTCAAACTTAGTCCTCAGGAGTGATCACATATTTGCATTTTGTTACTTAATATTTGACAGCTGACCGTCTTTTAGTGCGCATTCTCTGGTACGCCAGCCATTTTTTAATATATTGTAAGATGTTTAGAAAATAACTATAGGTGCTAATATGCATAATGTTTTTTATTTCTGTTATGTATTATCTATTTTAAAGATATAATTACAAAACATATTATTATTAATTATTGTTATAATTGAAAATTAACCTTAAATAGGATGCGAAAATGAAAAAAACAAAAACTCTAAAATAAGCTGGTAAGGAGAAAAATAGTTATGAGGTTGTGAGATTAAGACAAATCAAAACATGTTATGAAGTCAAATCTTCCAATTTGATCTAAGCAGCTAGTTCCTGTTGGCATATTTAAAACAGTTTTAGGTTTTTTCAAATAGGTGTTGGTTAAAATTATTGCATAAAGCAAATAAATTCCTTTTCGTTTTTTAAAATAGACTTGTTTTAATTAGAATTTCTTAATAATGTAACCCGTG